TCCTTGGGAAGGAAAGGCTGGGACTCCGGGGGGCTGGGCGGAGGTTCAGGAGCCTTGCTGGGGACGGCCCCGTCCACATCCGCGGGCTCAGAGGCCCGGGGAGCCTGCCGGGTGCTGTCCCTCTCGCCTACAAACAGAGGGCTCTTGGTCCAGCCGCACTTCCTCCTGCCATAGAAGGCGTCGGCAGGTGCAGTGGACTCACTGGACTGGGCCAAGCTGGCTGATGCCTCCTGTCTGGGGGACTCGGGCCTGAGGGCACTTCCATCGGGCTTGGGGTGCCCTGCCCTCTGGGCGCCTGGCAGCAGGGACTCCACAGCCACCTCGATGCCCAGGATCCTGGTGGCCCTGGCTTCAAGGGACTCATTTGGGGGGATTTCTATGGCATTGGCATCACCCGGAGACCCTGCTAGCTGGCTGGTACTCTGCTCCTGCACCAGCGTCAGCCCCACAGACCTCAAGTCTGGTGCAGACAGGCCTCGGGATTTGCCGGCAAGAGAGAGGGGCGCCCTTGTGCTCCCTTGCTCCCCATCACCCGCCCTCGGAGGGGCGGCTGCACTCAGCTCCACAGCTCCGAGACTGCCAGGGAGCTCCTGGCTGGGCGGGGGCTCCCTCCGTTCAGCTGGATCGGGTCGGGGCTCGGGTTTTGCATCATTCAACCCAGAAGATATTGCTCGTTTCACAGGCCTTGGGCTGACTGCCAGCTGGGCCACCCTGTCCTCAAACTCTCGGTCCCCATCTTCAGCAATCCAGCTCCCGGGGGGGGACAGCCACACGGAGCCTCTGCCTTCTGCCTGCCAGGGCCTGGGGGACCGAGGCCTCCCCTCCTCGCTCCAGCTCTCGGACTTGCTCTTGACTCTGCCCGGCCTCGTCCTGGGGTCCTCGGGCACCAGGCCCTTCCGGAGGCCCGGACACTGGGGTGCCGGGTGGGCACAGCTCCGCCAGGGCAGCTCTGTGTCACTGTCCTCACTGCCACTGCCGTCACTGCTGCTGTTACTGCTTCCTTCCTCCTCCTGAAGCTCCTTGTTGAAACTTTCTAACTGGCTGATCAAGTCCCAGGGCCGGGGGCTCACGGGCTTCAGGAGGAACTGCCCGAACAGCTGTCGACTGTTGCAGGGGCCCGTGGTCTCCCCCTTGATCACCTCACCCCTGGACACGGGGCTGGCTCGGCGGCCACGGCCATCCGAGCCCTGCTGACCCAGGCTGGCCCTCGGTGCGGGAACCTGGTTCCTGGACCGGGAGGACCCGGAGAAGGCGCTGTTGCTGGATGGGCTGAGGGACCCTTGACTTTTCGGGGAATGAGTCCCGGGCCTCTGGTTCGGGTCACTGGACGCCAACGCCATGTGCATCTGAACCTCAAAGGGTGCAGGGTCCAAACACCTTGGAGGCAGCATGGGGTTGGGGGAGCCCCCTGTCCTCTCGCCTGGGAGGGGCTGCAGGCTCTGAGGTTCTTGAGCGAAGCTGGTTTGTGTTTGCTGGTCTCGGAAGTGGTGCCCAGGCCATGGGCCAGGCCATGCGAGCGCGCGGTGCTTTGCGGGGTTGGGGGATCTGAGGCCGTCTGCTTGCCGGCCCCCTCCTGGGCCCCCCGGGTCTGGTCTTGGCAGCTCTGTCCTCGGGGCCATGCTGCCGGTGAGTGCCTGGAGCTCCAGGTCGGTGGAAGACAAACTGAGCCCGCTCTGCTCCTGCAACGCAGCGCTCCGCTTCAGGTCACTGTTGTTCGTGTCCGTACCTGGCGGCTGGGACTCCGATTTCACCGGGATGGAAACCAAACAAAAGATCGTCTCGCTCGTTTTTTTCTTTGAGCTTCTCTTGGGCTGCAGCCCTGTCTCGAACTTTCTGAGTTGGGTCTGCATCTCACAGGAACTCTCGCCCTGGGGGCTCGGGGAGGACACGAGGCTTTCTGGATATTCGCGTGGGCTGCCGCTCACATCGGGCCGCTTTCTTTGTGTGACAGTGCAGGGGTCTCTTCGGTCAGGAGAACTGCCATCTTCTCTATCCCTGGGGGGCTGGCCCCATAGCCATGGGGGGCTGGGATCAGCAGGGGCAGGACCCCTCCCCGTCCCTGATGTGCCCCACACGGCCCCCTCCTGCTGCAGGCTTCTTGGGTCAGGGGCAGGGACCGCACCATCCAGCTTCACATCTTCCCAGAATCCATGGGGTCGGGCTAGTTTAATGTGTCGTATCCGGGGGTCGTTGAAGGGAATTGTCAGGATGGAGCCGTCGTAAGCCGTGGTGGGGTGGGGCAGTGGGGGGACACCTACAGGAGAGCATGGGCTGGCCCCCCACTCACTCCCAGCTCCCCAGGAGCCAGAAAGAGGCTGACCGCCGGCAGCGGGCTTCTCCATCAGATGCTGTGGTACACGGCAGCCTCCGCCATCAGGCCTGGGTACCGCCTCCTCCGGGCAGGGGTGTGCTGCGGGCTGCGGCGGCGACTTGTACGAGGGTGGGGGCACATACACGGGGGGCTCCAGGCCGGGGTCAGGCCCATAGAGGTCCTGCCTGGCACTGTTCGTCCTGGCCAAGTGGGCAGCACCCGGGTCCGGCTGCCGGCTGTCTGCATAGCTGCCATTTTCTGCTCCGGCCCTGGAGTGTGGCTGGGAGCCGTAAGACGGGGGCTTGAGGGGTCTCCCAAACCAGGGCCGGGGCAAAGAGGCCGAGGTGCCAGCCTTCTCGGGGTTCCTGGTGGATTCCAAATTGGAAGCACAATTTGGAGGCTGAAGTGGCACTTTAGGGACACCTGGTAAATGGCCATCGCTCAAAGGGATAGGGACCTCCACACAACTCAGGCTCTCGGGGGAAAGGACTCGAGGCAGTGATTGGGACTTCCCTTTGCTCTGGGAGGTCAGCCCGTGCTCCCCAAGCATGAACGGGTACAGGTCCTGAAACAACTTCTCTCCTACACCATCTGACATCTGCCTCCCAAGTCTCGGGGGCTGGTTCCAGCTTCCAACGCTGACATCCTGCCATCTGGCGGGACCCGCCATTCCCAGCTCGTCTTCCCAAACAGCCTTCTTCATCACGTGCTCAGACCTTCCTCCAACTTCCCAGGGACCCTCCCTCGGGTGCGCGGGCAGGCTGGGGGCCGGGCCTCGGCCCCCTGGGTCCTCCCGGGCCTCCTGCTCCCTTCTCCTCCACTAGGCGTGGCTGCGGCCGGTCAGGGGCTGCGAGGACCATGCGAGCACCGGCTGATGGTGGAACCTTTCCGTTTGCCTCCTGTTTCCAGCTCTCCAATGGCCACCAGCCTCGGAGATCCTGGTAGCAGCCGCAGCGCTGGGGCGCTCCCCGTGGCCCCTCGGCCCGAGGCGGCGGCTCTCGGGGTCGCTCAGGAGGCCCGTCCCCGGAGAGGCCTTGCCCCGGGGGAGGGCAGTGGGGCCTTCGTCACAGCCATTCAGCAGGCCGGGGCCCGCGGGCACCACGGTCCTTGCAGGCTGGCGCCCCTCGCCGTCATCCTCGCGGGGGGCTGGCAGCTTCCTCGACAGCTTGTAGCCGTGGGAGATCAGCAGGTCTTCGACACTGTACATAGTGCTCCGGCCGCATCAAAGTGCCACCGCGGGGACCGTCGTGGTGGCAGGGCCCACACGAGCGGCTCCCTCATGCTGCCCTGCGCCGCTGCCGCCGCTCCGGCCAGCTGGGGACCAGCGCGACCCTCCCCGCTCGCAGCCTCTACGGCCAAGCATGCCCGGAGCCGCCTCCGCCGCCCGTTTAAGAGCTTCTAATGTACCTGCCTAGTAGAGCTGTTGTGAGGATAAGCTGTGAAAATACCCTTAACGTGCTTGAGACACTTCCTTAGCTCCTTTAAGTTCTCATTAATGTTAGTTGTTGTTCTCATCATCATCATGATTGCTCATGTTATTATTATTATTATTACCACTGTTATTAAGTTCAAGGGAAGACCTTGGGATAAGGTGGAAATGGCATATGAAAGAATAAAAATGGTAGTCCCAGTACCATCAGGTAATACTAGAGGAGAGGCAATGAAGGTGGAAAGGGATAATCAAACTAGGGAGTTAAGGACTTCCCTGGTGGTGCAGTGGGTAAGAATCTGCCAGCCAGTGCAGAGGACACAGGTTTGATCCCTGGTCCGGGAAGATTCTGTAGGCTGCACAGAACCACTCAGCCTGTGTGTGTGCCACAACCCCTGAGCCCGTGTGCTGCAGCTACTGAAGCCCCCGCGCCTGGAGCCTGTGCTCTACAACAAGAGAAGCTCCACACAGAAGCCCGAATAGCACACTTACTGCAACTAGAGGAAGCCTGAGTGCAGCAACGAAGATCCAGTGCAGCCAAAAACAAAAAACCAGAAAGCTGTGGAGTGAAAAAAACTCATACAAGATAACCTAGAAAATGGAGCTCTGTGAAATCAGTGAGTCAGGCAAGGAGCCTGGAGAAGTGGACGTGTTAATTAAGAATTGTAATTTCAGTATGTTTATTTGAAGCATGACAATTTAGAAGAAGGATTCTTAAATGCTGATTCACAGACTGGTTGCTTGGTCCTGGGAAGCTTGTAAAAAAATGCTGAAGTTCTAACTTCTGAGTCTGTAGTGAGGCTCAGGAAGCTGTATTACTAAAGGCTGCAGCTCAGGTAGATTTGGATGCACAGCCAGGTTTGGGAACCTGTGCCATGAACACATAGAGCACTGGAAGTCAAGGAACTTGGGCTGTAGTTCTAAGTCTAGAGAAGACCTGCTGTGTGACTTTCGACTTGCTTGCAACTCGCTCAGACCTCTGTTGAGGGTCCAGGGAAGTGAGGTGTGTGAAGTGTTTTAGCCCTTGTGGAGCCCTCGGCACATGTCAGGAGGGGTTACGTTGGTTAGCAGCAGGTATTCTCTGTGTTCGATGCTAACCTCAGCAGTCAAGGTTCCTCTCCCTGCGCTGCCCCTGCTCCATCCCTGACAGCCAAGCCAGGGTCTTGACCTACATGTCTGTATTCCCTTCCAGCTGTCAGTCCTTTAACTGTGTTCTCTGCTTTGCAGACACCAAAGTACTATTTGATTGTGTGGATTCTCATGGATATTCTTTCTGCAATTTTCATTGTTGCCATACTTTATTTTCATTGGTAAGCATATATTTGTAATTTTATATGATTTTTCTCCAAAATAAAAATATAAATCGTTTTATGGAAATTTGAAGGAAAACAGTTACATTCGTCCCATAATCCCATGTGGCAGGTCCTCAGGGAGACAGGGTTTTCTCATCAGAACCTCCGATTTCTTCTCATGCTGCCTTCACACCCCTTCTCCTGCTTCTATCTGAGACCATATTCTAAGAATAAGGACTCTCACAGGCTTCCCTGGTGGCTCAGATAGTAAACAATCTGCCTACAATACAGGAGACCTGGATTTGACCCCTGGGTGGGGAAGATCCTCTGGAGAAGGGAATGACAATCCCTTCCAGTATTCTTGCTTGGAGAATTCCATGAACAGAGAAGCCTGGTGGGCTATAGTTCATGGTGTCACAAAGAATCAGACATGACTGAGTGACTGACATAGCTAAAGCTTAATCAAAACCTGTTACTGCAGATCCCCTGTGGATCAGTTGGGAGAGGACTGGAGTTGAAGGCTGTTCAGAACAAGTGCCTCCCTCTTCCCACCTTCTACAGGATGGGACACAGTAGGGTGCTGCGTAAAGAGCAAGCTCACCCTCCAGGAAACCTGGCTTTTGGTCCTGGTTTTTCCGGTCGTTGCTGGGTGACCCTGGGGAAATCACTGCCCCTTTCCAGACCATAGTTTTTGTATTTTCTGAGAAAATGACATTTGAGAATTCTTGAGGGGAAAATGCTACAAGATTCCAAAGTTCAGGGTGGGAGATGGAACATCTGGTAGAAGAATTTTTAGCTAGAAGAGACCATGGTCTTTAGATCACATCATACCCATTTTTTCCTCATTTGAGCTATCCTTTAAAAAGGAGGAAACTATAAACCTTCTGTTTAACATAGAATTTGATTGGATAGAGTTCTTTTCTGGCCACTGCCTTGAATTGTTGCCTATTTTAGATTAGATCCGTGAGGCTCATGGATACTCTGCTTCCTTCCAGGTGGAAAGAGAGCAAAAAAGAAAAATTACTCAACAGCACCAGCATTCACACAGGTAAAGTTAGAGGCCTAGCCCACTCTCATCATCCCTACCCATTGCCTCCAGGATTTAGGGCCTGCCTTAATGTTTCTGACGAGAGTCAAAGGAGGTCTGAAATTGGGGAGTGGGGACCACTGAGAAATTGGGATAAATGGGTTGGACACAGATTCTGGGGGCCCCTGGCATCAGGATTCATTGTGGACTTTTATCTTCTAAGTGTTGACACTCCTTGGAAGGTTTTGAAATGGATATTTTTATGTTCACCGGGTCATATATTTATTCATCACATAGTTATTGAGTATCCACTTTGTGCCAAGCACTGTGAGAGAGATTGAAGGAACTGAAAGTTGTCTGTGGGGAGTGGATCAGGAGATGAGAGGACTGGCCCACAGAGAGTGGTGAGGAAGTAGGCAAAGGCATAGCAATTGATACCTTTGGGCCAGATGCCTAGGTGTAAGACAGTGAGGCTGCCATGTTCATCAGGGCTGTGTGCTATAGGCGACTTTAATTGTGATATGTATGTTGGAAGGTTGAGGGAGAAAATTGTGGAGGGGGCATGCTGAAAAGAACATAGACTCTGCATATAAGCAATCAGGAGATGGCAAACGAATTTCAAACAAGGCAGCAATATGCTTAGACTTTTGTGTAAAAGGATAGAATAGCAGAATAACTTATTATTCAACAGAACAACTCAAATGAAATGAAAGGAAATTAAATGAAATAAATGAAAAGAAATGGATTTTCATTCTGTGAAACTGAAGGTTTAAGCCAAGTTCACTGAAATCTCTTAAGGGACTGAGAGATCTCAAGTAACTGAGTTCTATGGATTTTTAGATCACTCTGCTAGCTGGTAAAAAGTCTGAAGGCCATGTTCCAGTTCCCTTACGATTTTTACTAGTTACATTAGTACACTAGGGCTATGAAAACAAAATACCACAGACTAGGGGGCTTAAATAACAGAAGTTGATTCTTCTTATAGTTCTGGAGGCTAGAGGTGAAAGATCAATGTGTCTGCAGATTTGGTTTCTTCTGAAGCCTTTCTCTTTGGTTGCAGATAGCCACTTTCTTGCTGTGTCCTCACACAGCCTTTCTTCTTTGCACACGCTTCTACCCACCACTGCCCAGTGTCTCAAATTTTTTCTACTCTAGTCAGATTTGAATCAGGGCCCACCCTATTGGCCTCGTTTTAGCTACCTCTTCAAAGGCCCAGTTTCCATATATAGTCAGATTTTCAGGTACTAGAGATTATGGCTTCAACATATGAATGTGGGGCACAAAATTCAGCCTGTAACAATAATCCAGTGAAGAAATGGACAGAATATGGAATAGCTGAGGAATGCATCAATGAGAGAAGTTTTGAAGGAAAACTCTTAAAATCTGTTTAAATTGGGATAAAAGACATGTCTAAAATGCCTTATAAAAGTATAGTTAACTTGACCTCAGCTTCACACCATGTTGAAATGATGACAAGGAAATAAGGTGAATGAGAAATGAAGTTTTTCCTGTTTTTTATAGCATTTCCAGTTGCCCAGTTAGAGAAACCAGTTTTTCCTGATCTAAGTAAATGTGTTGAAAAGCTGTTTGAGTACTTCCAAGAGACACTTCTAGGGCCTCACCCCAACTCCTAGAAGGGGTGGGGCCAAGTTCAGAATGAGAAAAGGTACAAAGATGACCAAAAAGAAGCCAAAACCACAGCCCAGATTCATTTAGGTTGAGGAGAACAGAGCTTTGAACACTAAGCATAATTCACATCTTGTACCATGACCACCTCTGAGATGGGCATATACTACTGCACCTAATGCTGCCTCCAGACGGCTTTCATCACCTCCTGAGCTTTAGGATACATTTTTCAGCCCTTTAAAGAAGTTCATCCTTTGTCTTCTGTCTCATATAGTTTCTTATGAAAAGTCTTATAAAAACATCTTCCATTTAAAAAATCATTGTTCATCTACTGGTAATATGTCATTTTTCTCTGGCTGCTTTTTAAGGTTGCTGCTTTTATTATTGGTTTTCAGTAATTTTATTATAGTTTATTTTGTTGTGTTTAAGTGTGTATATGAATGAGTGTGTGTGTGTGTGTGTGTTCATCCTGCTTAGAGTTTTCTGAGATCCTTAGATCAGAGTATAATTTTATCAAATGTCTGTGCTTCATTTGGATAGATTATATTTCAGTATATATTAGGTTTTTATTGATACAGAACAAATTATCACAAATTTGGCAGCTCAGTACAACACAAATTTATCATCTCAGAGTTTGTGTGGGTCAGGAGTCTAAGCATGTGTTTGTCTGGTCCTCTTCATAGAGTCTCACCAGGCTAACATTGAGGTGTTTGCCTTGGCAGCAATCTCATCTGAGACTTAGATTCTGCTTCCAAGATCACTGGTTATTGGCTGATATTAGTTCCTTAAAGTTGTGGGACTAAAGTGCTCCTGTTTTTGTGATTACTGTTGACTGGGTTTTGATTTGAGTTTAGAAACTGTGTCCAGTCCTGATCATTTTGTCCTCTCAAAATGTGGCAGATTTTTCTTCAATGCCAGCAGGAGAATATCTCTAGAGTAGGTGAATTCAGAGAAAAAAGGACAAAGGAAGGAAAAATAACATATGAAACAAATAGGAGACAAGTTGAAACTTGGTTATCATTAATTCAACTACTTTATCTTTAAATATCAAAGAAACAAATACTCAAAAGTAGAGACTTCATGCAAGATAGGAAAAAAGCAAGACCCAACCATATGCTGTCTACAGAACTAATGTTTCAAATACAAAGGTTCAAATAGATTACAAAGTGAAAGGATGGGACAGTGATATGCCATGCAAACAATAAATATAAAAAATATTTTCTGAAAAAATAAACTTTAAAGCATGGAAAATTACTGGAAGCAAAGATTTCATAATGATTAAAATGTCAGTATATCAGGGAAGACATTGTAGTTTTAACTGCTTTCAGTTAGGAAAAGAGTTTCAGAACATGTTAGTCAACAACTGAAAGAGAGATCATAGTTGGAGATTTTAATATTTTTCACTTAATACTTAAAACACCAATTAAACACAAAAAATAAAACAAGAATGAATATAGAAATCTGAACACTTTCAGCCATCTTGACCTAACTGGCATATAACATTTTACCCAAGAACTACAGAATATACAGTATTTTCAAGCGTACCTGGCATATTTCTTCAAATAGAGTACATGACAATCCTTTCAACAGCCTGGGAGAGATAGCTGATTTACCTAATTCATAGAAAGAAACAGAAAATCAAGGAAAATGAGGAGACGAGGAATATAGTCCAGTCAAATGAACAAGACAGAAACCTCAGAAAAACAACTAAATGAAACTGAGATAAGCAGTCTACCTGATGGGACTTCACTATGATGATCATAAATATGCTCATCAAACTCAGGAAAGGATAAACATAGTGAGAACTTTAACAGTGAGATAGAGAATATAGGTACCAAAGAGAAGTTATGACTAAACTGAAAAATACACTAGAGGTGCTCAGCAGCAAAGTAGATGAGTTGGAAAAACAAATGAGTGAGCTAAAAGATAAAATGGTGGGACTCCCTCAGACAGAGCAGTAAAATGAAGAATTTTAAAAAGTGAAGATACCATATGTTGCCTTTAGGACAACATTGTGTGGAGTAACATTTGCATTATATGGGTCACAGAAGGGGAAGAAAGAAAGGACCAGAAAAATTATTTTAAGAAATAGTGACTAAAAAATTTCCTAATCTGGGGAAGCAAACAGACCTCTGAGTCCAGGAAGCCCAAAGAGCTCCAAATAAGAGGAACCCAAAGAGACACATATAAGACATATTGCAACTAAAATGGTAGAAGTTAAGAATAAAGAGAATCCTTAAAGCAGCAAGAGAAAAGTAACTCGGGGTAATAAAGGAGTGTCATGATATACTCAAAGTGCTGAAAGGAACAAACTTCCCATCACAGATTGTGCACAGCTAATTTAACGTTCAGAGTTAAGGAGAGATTTAGAGTTTTTAGGGTAAACAAAAGCTAAAGGAGTTTATTGCCCCTATACTTGTTCTACATGAAATATTAAAGGGACTTCTTTAAATTGAAAAGAAATGACACTAAATGGTAATAAGAAAACATTCAGTAATTAAAATTTCACTGGAAAATGTACATATATAATAAAGGCAGCGGTTCAATCACCTATAAAGCAAGCATTAAGATTAAAGGACAAAAATAGTAAGAATGATGTCAAATTTCAGTAATTAAGGAATGCATAAAATAAAAAGATGTAGAAAGTATGATCAATAGATGAATTTCAGAAGACTGAAATCTTACAGAATATATTCCATGACCACAGCAAAATTAAATTAGAGACAAACATTAATATGACATCTATAAATACCTCTATATTCCAGAAATTAGTGTATTTCTTAACACTGAGTGTTAAAAAAAATAAATCATAAAGGAGGTTGATTGGAAAAGAAGTAAAACTCTCACTGTTTGCAGATGACATGATCCTCTACATAGAAAACCCTAAAGACTCCACCAGAAAATTACTAGAGCTAATCACTGAATATAGTAAAGTTGCAGGATATAAAATTAACACACAGAAACCCCTTGTTTTCCTATACACTAACAATGAGAAAACAGAAAGAGAAATTAAGGAAACAATTCCATTCACCATTGCAATGAAAAGAATAAAATACTTAGGAATATATCTATCTTAAGAAACAGAAGACCTATATATAGAAAACTATAAAACACTGATGAAGAAAATCAAAGTGGACACAAATAGATGGAGAAATATACCATGTTCATGGATTGGAAGAATCAATATTGTGAAAATGAGTATACCACCCAGAGCAATCTATAGATTCAAAGCAATCCCTATGGAGCTACCAATGGTATTTTTCAGAGGACTAGAACAAATAATTTCACAATTTGTATGGAAATACAAAAAACCTCGAATAGCCAAAGCAATCTTGAGAAAGAAGAATGGAACTGGAGGAATCAACCTGCCTAACTTCAGGCTCTACTACAAACTGCAGTCATCAAGACAGTATGATACTGGCACAGAAGACAGAAATATAGATCAATGGAACAAAATAGAAAGCCCAGAGATAAATCCATGCACCTATGGACGCCTTATCTTTGACAAAGGAGGCAAGAATATACAATGGAGAAAAGACAATCTCTTTAACAAGTGGTACTGGGAAAGCTGGTCAACCAGTCGTAAAACAATGAAACTAGAACACTTTCTAACACCATACACAAAAATAAACTCAAAATGGATTAAAGATATAAACATAAGACCAGAAACTATAAAATTCCTAGAGGAAAACATAGGCAAAACACTCTCTGACATAAATCACAGCAGGATCCTCTATGACCCACCTACCAGGGTAATGGAAATAAAAGCAAAAATAAACAAATGGGCCCTAATTAAACTTAAAAGCTTTTGCACAACAAAGGAAACTATAAGCAAGGTGAAAAGACAGCCTTCAGAATGGGAGAAAATAATAGCAAACGAAGCAACTGACAAAGAATCTCAAAAATATACCAGCAACTCCTGCAGCTCAATGCCAGAAAAATAAAGACCCAATCAAAAAATGGGCCAAAGAACTAAACAGACTCCAAAGAAGACATACAGGTGGCTAACAAACACATGAAAAGATGCTCAATATCACTCATTATCAGAGAAATGCAAATCAAAACCACAGTGAAGTACCATTACACGCCAGTCAGAATGGCTGCTATCCAAAAGTCTACAAGTAATAAATGCTGGAGAGGGTGTGGAGAAAGGGGAACCCTCTCACACTGTTGGTGGGAATGCAAACTAGTACAGTCACTATGGAGAACAGTGTGGAGATTCCTTAAAAAATTGGAAATAGAACTGCCGTACGACCCAGGAATCACTGCTGGGCATACGCACCAAGGAAACCAGAATTGAAAGAGACACGTGTACCCCAATGTTCATCACAGCACTGTTTATAATAGCCTGGACATGGAAGCAACCTAGATGTCCATCAGCAGATGAATGGATAAGAAAGCTGTGGTACATATACACAATGGAACATTACTCAGCCATTAAAAAGAATATATTTGAATCAGTTCTGATGAGGTGGATGAAACTGAAGCCTATTACACAGGGATTCCCTGGTGGCACAGATGGTAAAGCATCTGCCTGCAATGCGAGAGACCCGGGTTCAATCCCCATGTTGGGAAGATCCCATGGAGAAGAAATGGCAACCCACTCCAGTACTCTTGCCTAGAAAATTCCATGTATGGAGAAGCCTGGTGGGCTATAGTCCATGGGTCACAAAGATTCGGACACGACTGAGCGACTTCACATTATACAGAGTGAAGTAAGCCAAAATAAAAACACCAATACAGTATACTAATGCATATATATGGAATTTAGAAAGGTGGTAATGATAACCCTATATGTGAGACAGCAAAAGAGACACAGATGTATAGAACAGTCTTTTGAACTCTGTGGGAGGAGGCGAGGGTGGGATGATTTGAGAGAATAGCATTGAAACATGTATATTATCATATGTGAAACAGACCACCAGTCCGGGTTCGTTACATGAGACAGGGTGCTCAGGGCTGGTGTACTGGGATGACCCAGAGGGATGGGATGGGGAAGGAGGTGGGAGGGGGGTTCAGGATGGGGCACACACATACACCCATGGCTGATTCATATCAGTGTATCCACTACAATATTGTAAAGTAAGTTGCATCCAATTAAAATAAATAAATTTTAAAAAGGAGGTTGGAAAATATTTTAAAGGATAATGCATGTACAGTAGCAAAATTTTTGTGGTATAGCTAAAGCAGGACTTATAGGGAGATTTCTAAGTTTAAATCTTAGAAGAAATATTGGTTTAGTATTCATTGTTTCTACCTTAAAAATCTAGAAAAAAATAAAGTTAATATTTTCTAAGTAAAAGAAGGAGATATTAAGACAGCAGGAATCAAAGACATAGAAAAGACACAAACAGAGGAAATAAAAAGTTGGTTCTTGAGAAGATTAATAAAATTTATAAACTTGTAGCAAGATGAGAGAGAGATTGCCAATATGATAAATGATGGAGAAAAAACATTTGACAAAATTCAACATCCATTCATGATAAAAACTCTTACCAAAATAGGTATAGAGGAAATATATCACAAGGTAATAAAAACCATTTATGACGAACCTGCAGCCAACACAATACTCAGTGGTGAAAAGCCTAAAGCCTTCTCTCTAAAATCTAGAACAAGACAAGGATGCCCACTCTCACCACTTCCATTCAACACACTATTGAAAGTCCTAGCCACAGCAATTAGATAAGAAAGAGAAAGATAGGTTTCTAAATTGGAAGAGGTAAAATGGTCATTTTACTATGATATGATACTATATATAGAAAACCCTAAAGACTCCATACAAAAACTATTAGAACTGATAAATGAATCCAACAAGGTGGCAGAATATAGGATTAACATACAGTAATCTGTTGCATTTATTTAAACTTAACAATGAAATATGAGAAAAGGAAAGTAAAAAAAACAATTTCTTTTAAAACTGTATAAAAAATACTTAGGAATAAACCTGACCGAGGAGGTGAAAGGCTTACATGCTGACAAGACATGATAAGACATTGATAAAGGAAATCGAAAGTGATTCAAAAAATGGGAAGATATCCTATGCTCTTGGATTGGAAAAACTAATATTGTTAAAATGGCAATACTCCCCAAAGCAGTTTACAGATTTAATGTGATTCTTATCAAATTACCCATGAAGTTTTTCACAGAACTAAAATAATTCTAAAATTTGTATGGATCCATAAAAGACTCAAAATCACCAAAGTGATATTGAGGAAAAAGAACAAAAGTCAGGGACATAACCCTCCCAGATGTTGTACAACACTACAAGTCTGTAGTAATCAGAACATCATGATAATGGCATAAAAACAAATATGGATCAATGGCACAGAATAGAGAGCTCAAAAATAAACCCATACACCTATAGGCAGTTAATCTTTGACAAAGGAGGCAACAGTATACAATGGAGAAAAGACAGTCTCTTCAGCAAGTGGTGTTGGAAAAGCTGGACAGCCACATGTAAATCAATAAGGTTATAACATACGCTTTCACCATACACAAAAGTAAACCCAAAATGGCTTAAAGATTTAAAGACATAACACCATAAAAGTCTTAGAATATAGGCAAAACATTCTCTGACATAAATCATACCAATATTTTCTTATGTTAGTCTTTCAAGGGAAAGATAAAAGTAAACATAAACAAATGGGACCTAATCAAACTCATAAGCTTTTCTATAGCAAAGGAAACCATAAACAAGTGAAAAGACAACCTACAGACTGCAAAATATGCAACCAAAAAGGGCTTAATTTTCAAGATATACAAATAGCATACAACTCAATAACAAAAAAACAACTCAAGTGAAAAAGGGACAGAAGACCTAAATAGACATTTTTCCAAAGAAGACATACAGATGGCCAATAGACACATGAAAAGATGCTCAATATCACTTAATTATTAGAGAAAGGGAAATCAAAGCTACAATGAGGTATTACCTCAAACCCATCAGAATGTCCATCATTAAAAAGTACAAATAACAGATGCTGGAGAGGGTGTCAAGAAAAAGAAACCCTCCTACATGGGTGGTAGGAAAGTAAATTGATGTACCCAGCATGGAAAACAGTATGGAGGTTCCTCAGAAAAATATAAGAGTTGTCATGTGATTTAGTAATCCCACCCCTGGGAATATGGACAACATTCTAAACTAAAAAGATACATGCACCCCAGTGTTTATGGCAGCAATATTTACAATAGCCAAGACATAGAAGCAACTTAAATGTACATTGATAGGTGAATGGATAAAAATGTGACTTATAATGGAATACTACTCAGCAATGAAAAAGAATGAAATAATGATATTTGTAACAAAATGGATGGATCTAGAGATGATCATACTAAGTTGGAAAGAAAAAGACAAACACCATAAGATACCACTTATATATGGAATCTAAAATGTGAAACAAATTAACTTATATATGAAACAGAAACAGACTCAGAGACATAGAAAACAAAATTATGGTTACTGAAAGGAAAGGAAGGGGTCGGGGAAGGATAAATTAGAAATTTAGCAGATTAGCAGATACAAACTACTACAACAAGATCCTACTGTATAGCGTTGGGAACTGTTATTTCCTTTGATAAACTGTCATGGAAAATTATTTGAAAAGAATAAATATATATGTATATATGCATAACTGAATCACTTTGCTGTATATCAGAAACTAATACAACATTGTGAATCAACTATACTTCAATTTTAAGAAATAATAAAGCAACAATACCAGCTCTTACCACTTTCTTCTATTTGGCCTTGTACTGGATATCCTAGCCAGTTCAGTAAAATAATAATAGGCATAAAGGAAGAAACAAAACTCCTTAATTTGCATTTATTATTATATGAAAAATTTTAAGGAGTCAACTGAAAAACCTACTAGAACTAAAAAGTGAATTAAGCAATGTCTCAAACTCCAGCACCTTGATGAATTGAAGACCATAGGAAAGTGGGTAGGGAGAGAAATAGTGGAAAAAAATCTGAGATGATAATTGAGGAGCTGACATTTTAAAGATGACTAGAATTTTACCATGTGACTGGCAAATATTGGAGAAGTGACATTTGTGGAATCTGTGTTTTTGTCTTTTCTATCCCATAGACTCTCTGAGTACAAGCCTCCGAACAGGAGAAAGTCAGAACCAAGAACCTTCATGTATAGCCATAGATCCTGTCCCCCGAGTTACAGAAATTCCTTGGACTCACGCAGATCTCTCCCCAGCTTTAACCAAGAATGTAAGGAAATACCCATACTCTAGCCATGTTTCAGTAGTCCCCATGAAGAAAGCCAGCAAATCAAAGCAAGTCAGCAAAACCATCAAGACACCAGTGCCTGGCGAGGATGACATTAGACAACTGGTCCCCACCTTGAAGGCCTCTGAATCCATCCAAGCACCTGTCCGGGATTCTGCCAGAGAGGCCACCTACCAATCTTCATCAGCCATGAAGGCGACTGGAATATTTTCCTCCATAGACGTCTCTCATCCTCAGAAACAAACTGAAAGGCCCCCCAGTACTAAATCTTCCGAGGAATCCCTTCCTGTTTTCACCACATCCAGCCCATCCTCCTCCTCCTAAGCCTGTCTGCAAAGAATTAACCACAACTTGCTCCCTTCTTCCTCCTCTTCTCTGTGCCTTAGGATGGTGACAGTGGAGAGCGGTCAGGCAATGAGTGCTGAAGAGCCGTTGAAGCTCTCAGGAAAACCATCCTGGTCTCGCCTTTCTCTAAAGAGTGCATATCAAGGGGACGAACAAGGGGAAAATAGTTGTAATCTTGGAGCTGGAGCTGGTTGTTCTCTGGGCATTAGGTTTTATCTCATCTGTAGTGAACATCAGCATGTAAATAAAGGCAGCTCTCAGGAACTCAGAAGGTAAACGGTGTATTCTTTGGACCCCTCTGTGATCATTCAGGCTGACACAGACTAGAGGATAAGTGCTAAAGTGTTGCCATCCTGAGAATGAGAGGTGGCATAAGCATGAGTCAGGGGCAAAGATCTTATCCCACACATGCATTCTGTCATCTGGCATGAAGTGGGGTGCTTTGTAATACCTTGTTCACTGATTCCCCAGTGGGGTGATGGGTATAACCCCACACCAACACAATGACTCTAGGCCTTGAGTCATCAGAGCCGCAGCAAGTGTCTAAAGCTTTATCAACCTGAAGAATCTGAAAACAGAAATACCTGGGATATACCAAGTGAAAGAAGTGCTGCAATGAGAAAAAAATGGAGTATTTTAAATACATTACTATTCAAATACAGGCATAAGCTCAAGAACCTTGTCTTCTTGACTGACTCTAAGAGTAGGATAATGTCACTCCCTCAGATAAGATTTAATCTAGTATACATATACATAATCTAGTCAAGATTATTGCATCATGATTATCATGTTATTATCAAGTCAAGATAAATCTAGTTATTTATGTATATATAAATAATTGAATAATTATTTAAGATAAAGTGGAAGATCTATCACCAGACAGAAATCATTAATTGTTAAATGAACTCATCCTCACAGTAATAGTTCTTGGAATCCAGAGAAAAAGTGACATGTTTTGGGATTGGAAGAAGCCTAGGAAGAATTAGAACCGGAATTTGAAGATGGGTATGGTTTGGAAAAGGAGAGGAACAGAGAGTGCACATTGAGTAGACTAGACAACATTAGTCAAATAAAATTTTAATAACAATATTTTTGTTGGTTTTTAAGAAACTTGTGATAAAATATATTTACATAACAAAATTGATTACTGTTTTTAAGTATATGACTCAGTGGCATTAAGTACGTTCACATTGTTGTGTTGTGCAACCATCAATGGAACTTTTTCTTTTAGCTTTCTTTTGGTTTCCATTGGCATAGAATATCTTTTTCCATCTCTTCACTTTCAGGCTGTGACTGTCCTTAAAGTTGAAGTGAATATCTCTTATAGGCAGCATATAGTTAAGTCTTGTTTTTTTATTCATTTAGCCACTCTGTGTCTTTTTAGAAAATTTAGTTTAGTTACATTTAAAGCAATTTTTGATAGGTATGTGCTTTATGCTAGTTGTTTTCTGCCTGTTTTGTAATTCTCTTTTCTGTTCCTTTCTTCTGTCTTTGTGGTTTGATGATTTTTTGTAGTGGCATGTTTAGATCCCTCTCTCTTTATCTTTTGTGTCTAGTACAGGTTTTTGCCTTGTGATTACCATGAGGTTAAATAAAACATAATTTTAACAGTCTATTTTAAGTTGATAATAATTTAAAATTGAACACTTTAAAGCTAAAGCTCTATGTCTTTACTGTACGTCCAATAATCTATGTTTTTGCTGTCACAATTTACCTATTGTGTATCCATTAACAAATATTGTAGTTATTTTTTACTACTTTTGTCTTTTATCCTTCATACTAGAGATATAAGTGATTAACATATCACCATTACAACATTAGATTATTTTCAGATTTAACCATGTACTTACCTTTACTAGTGAGATTTACATTTTATATTTTACATATTTTCAATATTTAAAATAATGTAAACTATTTTACATTAAATATTTTATATATTTTCCTGTTACCAGTTCGTGCCCCTTTGCTTTAGCTTAAGGAATTCCCTTTAACAGCTCTTGTAAGGCCAGTCAGGTGGTGCTGGATTCTTTTTTCTTTCAGCTCTTGCTTGTCTGAAAAGCCCTTTAACTCTCTTTCAAGATTCCTCTGATGGATGGAGTGTTGTTTGTCAATAGTTTTCCCCCCAGCACTTTGAATATATTGTGCCACTCCCTTTTAGCCTACAAAGTTCCTGGTGAGAAATCTGCTGATTGCCTTTTGGGGATTCCCTTTTACGTAACAAGTTGTTTTCTCTTGCTGATTTTAAGATTCTCTTCTTGTCTTTAATGCTTGATAATTAATTATAGTACATCTTGCTTGGTGTCTCTTTACAGTCATCTTATTTGGACCTCTCTGGACTTCCTAGATCTAAATGTCTATTTCCTTCTCCAGGTTGGGGATGCTTTCAGCTATCATTTTTTCAAAGAAGTTTTCTTTCTTTCACTCTCTCTTTTACTTCTGGAATCTCTACAATGTGCATATTGTTCCTCTTGATATGGGCCAATAAAGCCATTAAACTATTTTCAGTATTTTTGATTCTTTCTGTTTGTCTGGTTGGGTAAATTCCACTGTTCCATCTTCAAGTTCATTGATTGTTTCTTCTGGCTCGTCAAGTCTGTTGTTGAACCTCTCTATTGAATTTTTCAGTTTAATTACTGTATTTCTCTACTCTGTGATTTGTTTGGTGCTTTCTTATATTTTGTATTTCTTTGTTAAAATTCTCATTTATGCCTTGTTCTCCTGGTGATCATCTTTAGGACCATTATTTTGAACTCTTTATTAGTTAAATCACTTATCTCCTTTTCATTAAGGTCATGTTCTTTCATTTGGAAGATATTCCTCTATTTATTCTTTTTCCTTGGCTCTTTGTTGGTTTCTATGTATTAGATAAAACAGCTACCTCTCCCAGCCTTGAAGGAGTGGTATGGTGTAGAAACTGAACCTTATCCATCATCCCTGCCCTAGCTTACACGTTTTAGTTGGCAAAGATGTCTACTTGGTTCATGGTGGCCCCAGAAGATGAGAGAGTTCCAAGTACTCTCAGTGTTCCAAAGGGGAGGATCTTAGTCAGCACTTTGATACGGGCTGAGTAGAAGCCAGACCCTCAGGTAAAAACTTTTAAAGTATGCAAATATACCACTTTCAGGGGAAGACTGGGAGATGCATGTTTCTGTCTCTTCCCTTTGCACTGAGCCCTAAGGGGGACTGATAGTTGTGAACTGTTTGTTTCCTAGCTACCATCCCAGTGAACCTATGAACACAAGCCCCACTGGCCACTGGAGCAAGGCTGTTGTGGGATATATCCTCTGGGTGGCAGCCACGAAAGGCTGGGTAGTTTATGTGTGTACAAGCTCTTTTCTTGGAGAAACCTGTGATGTGGGGCAGGGCAGAGGGAAAGAGTAATGATGGCAATCACTGATCTCCCTGTTCTCTGGAGAGGATTACAGGCCCCTCCCCTTCATGGATCACAGTCTTATCATGGCATGGCTTGTGTAACTCAGTGAAGCTGAGCCCTGACAGGCAGGGCCTCCCAAGATAGATGGGTCATAGTGAAGAATTCTGACAAAGCATGGTCCACTGGAGGAGGAAGGGGCAACCCACTCTAGTATTCTTGCTGTGACAACCCTACAAACTGTATCAAAAGGCAAAACAATGTGACACCAGAAGATGAGCCCCCCAGATCAGAAGGTGTCCAGAATGCTACTAGAGAAGAGTGGAGGGCAATTACTAATAGCTCCAGAAAGAATAAAGCAACTGGACAAGGGTGCCCACTCTCACCACTACTATTTAACATAGTTTTGGAAGTTTTGGCCACAGCAATCAGGGCAGAAGAAGAAGTAAAAGGAATCCAGATATGAAAAGAAGTGAAACTCTCTCTGTTTGCAGATGACATGATCCTCTACATAGAAAATCCTAAAGACTCTACCAGAAAATTACTAGAGCTAATCAATGAATACAGTAAAGTTTCAGGATATAAAATTAACACACAGAAATCTCTTGCATTCCTATACACTAACAATGAGAAAACAGAAAGAGAAATTAAGGAAACAATACCATTCACCATTGCAACAAAAAGAATAAAATACTTAGGAGTATATCTACCTAAAGAAACAAAAGACCTATACATAGAAGACTATAAAACACTGATGAAAGAAATCAAAGAGGACACAAACAGATGGAGAAATATACCGAGTTCATGGATTGGAAGAATCAATATTGTCAAAATGGCTATACTACCCAAAGCAATCTATAGATTCAATGCAATCCCTATCAAACTACCAATGGTATTTTTCACAGAACTAGAACAAATAATTTCACAATTTGTATGGAAATACAAAAAACCTCGAATAGCCAAAGTAATCCTGAGAAAGAAGAATGGAACTGGAGGAATCAACCTGCCCGACTTCAGACTATACTACAAAGCCACAGTCATCAAGACAGTATGGTACTGGCAGAAAGACAGAAATATAGATCAATGGAACAGAATAGAAAGCCCAGAGATAAATCCACGAACCTATGGACACCTTATCTTCGACAAAGGAGTCTAGGATATACAATGGAAAAAAGACAACCTCTTTAACAAGTGGTGCTGGGAAAACTGGTCAACCACCTGTAAAAGAATGAAACTAGAACACTTTCTAACACCATACACAAAAATAAACTCAAAATGGATTAAAGATCTAAATGTAAGACCAGAAACTATAAAACTACTAGAGGAGAACATAGGCAAAACACTCTCCGACATAAATCACAGCAGAATCCTCTATGACCCACATCCCAGAATTTTAGAAACAAAAGCAAAAATAAACAAATGGGACCTAATGAAACTTAAAAGCTTTTGCACAACAAAGGAAACTATAAGCAAGGTGAAAAGACAGCCCTCAGATTGGGAGAAAATAATAGCAAACAAAGCAACAGACAAAGGATTAATCTCAAAAATATACAAACAACTCCTCCAGCTCAACTCCAGAAAAATAAATGACCCAATCAAAAAATGGGCC